CTCCCTCCCCCCCCCCCCCCCCCCCAGCAGCAGTGTTTGATTCTTTACATAAACACTTATTTATAGATTTCTTTTGGAAGATGGTGATAAAAGAAACTTTAAGTTACTGTTCCTAGACAGCAAAGTTACTTTGGGCTAAAAGAATGAAAGAAAGAAAATGTTCTGAAATTGTTGAAGATTTCTCAATATCTGCTCTGAGCCTTGAGTCACAAAGTAAACATGTCCTGCTCGTTTTTCCATTCTGCTGTCTTAAAGGGTAGGTAAGGAGGGAAAATGGAAAAGCATTTTGTAATGAATCAGTTCCTTTGTTGAGAAAAACCCAAACAACCCTAGACAGAAAATTATCTGAAAAATTTATTGTGGTTTTCATTCAGTAAAGTGACACAGCTAAAGTTTTTGTGGTGTGTATATTTGGTACCAACCAATTAAAACCGACAGCATAAAAACAAAATGAAGTGGATCTTGTATACAGTTGTTGGGGATAAGAAATAATTCCATATGCTGGTATATACTGAAGGGAAAACATCTCAGTAGCCTGTTTTCTTAATTCATTTTCAATGCTGAAATGTACACCTTTAGAAGAAAAAACAAATTAAATGTAGAGATGGAGCAAGGGTTGAATAATTTAGCTAAGAAAAAATGGTTTATCATTTGTTTTGAGAACTCATCCTGTTGAAAACTTAATTTTCTTCACCAAGTGACCTTCATTTAAAATGAGTTATTTTTCCAAATGTGTAATTGCACCGAATTGATACTGGAAATTTGATGTTTATTTTCAGAATGCTGGTAAATTTTAATAATAGGATGTTTTATAAAGACAATTTTCTACTCTTACTTAAAATTACTTGAATTTTGTATCAGGAAAATGAAATGGTGGCAGTCTCTCTTTTACAGCTAAGGGTCTTAACTTGCTGTTTATTTTAAAGAAATCGGTTTAAAATATTCCTACTGTATTTACTGTTTGTAATTTAAAGAAACTTGAAGCTAACTATCTCAAAGTCTACCGTGCCAAAATGCACATGTTGGAAAAACTTGTGAAAAATAAAGGGTAATTTTAAATTAATGTAACAGCTTTTACTTGACTGTATTAGGTAGTTTCTTTGCATGTTTCCATTGTTCTTACAGAAATTATATTTACTGATGAATATTTTTAAAGGAACTGTAGATATGTTTAGATTGGAAGTTTCTCCAAGTGTCAGTTTTTGGCTTATTTACTCTGTTACTATTGAAATTATTTCTTTATATTAGTTGGTGCCTGTGTACCAAACATTGCATTACACTTTCAGAACAACCCCAGCAGGATGGATGTTTCTTGTTTTCTGTACCAACCTTCCTTTTTTTTATACAGAGGCTTTTTGATGATCTAAGCAGTAGTTCACTTTTTACCTGCTAATATTTGAAGAAGCTTTATATCGCATTCCCTAAACAGAAGTTTTATTTGGAGCTGAAAAGATTGGGAGAGGACATCAAAGATTATTCTTCTACTGAAAACAAGCCTGTCTGCTTATTTTTGTGTTCTCCTGTTTTGAGGAATGAGTTGTAACTGTACTTAGTTATGCTGAAGCAAATACACAAAAATGTGGTAACTTGAATTATGTACTAAAATGGGCTGGCTTGAAAAGGAATGGCTTTTCACAGGAAGTTCTTTGCTTTCTTTTAATTTCTCTTTACACTGTCAACTTTTCTGTATTTCAGGCTAATATTTGGAGATTGATATCCCTTGACTTTGTTTCCAGACATGGAACACCTCTGTCTTAGTGAGTGTCTCTCTCTCTCTAGCCTGTGCTTAGGCAAACTTTACAGATAAGAAAACCTCCAGGCCTTCAGAATGAAAGCAGCCTTTGTTGATCACCTTTTCTCAGCATTTGCCTGTGGCCTCTTAGGCTAACTCAGAACAGAATAATATTTTTACCACTGGATCAGCTACAGACAGTTTACTGTTTTCAGGACCTTTCTTGTAAAAAAACCCACAAAAATACAATCCTGTAACATGCAGGGGAAGTTCTTTTGCAGAATTTTTTTTCCCCAAGACTTGTGTTTTAATTATGTATTTTGTAATTCTCAGTCACATTTGATTTTTTTAATGTATATTTTTTCCTTCAACAAATATGAGGGCTTTACTTACTGTTAATTTCCTAGTTGTTTGCAACTATTAATGCACTCTTGTCATGTAGTGACACATAATGCTACATTTACTGTGCTGCACATTTATTGGAAGGGAAAATGTGTTCACCATGCTCACGTTGCTAAGATTCTCTCTTGATTTTTCTTCTAATGAAGTATTTGCAAAGGCTGACAACTGCCTTTCAGGTGGACGGCAACGTGTGTGGAAGCGTCCTCATTAACTTCTTAGGAACTGACAGTTACCAGAAAAAAGTTTGTTCTTAACAGTTCACCTGAATTAGTTCTGAAAGATTTGCTGTACTGTTAACTTGTGTGTATATGAGCTCACACAGGCTAAACAGAATTGTCACTGTTAGGAGATTAATTTTCATTACTTCTTTTTAAAGCACTTAAAGACTCTTGTGTCTCCTAACAAAGTTTGTTTTGGGGCATAGAAGATACATGCATCAGCAGGAAAGCAGTAACCTAAGTTCCAGCAGTGTATGAGAAACCTTGGGAGTACAGGGACATAAAGGTGCTCTGCAACAGATGAGACATTGTAAAGTATTTGATTTGTTCTGCTTTCATCTAGCTTTATTTTTCACTGCTAAGTACTTGAAGAGACTGTGGTGTGGGTAAGAGATGAGAGAGCAGTAAATGGGCAAGAGATTTCTTAATATTTTTAACCATAAGGAGATTGAGTATAACTTGGGTTTATTTCATATTCATGAACTATTCCAACTCTATTCCTAAAAAAATGTTCAGGACATTTGGTAGTATTTGACACATTTAATCTTTAACATCACTGTACAACAAGTAATTCCAATATGTATTTGCCACTTCATTTTTTTTTCCCAAAGGACTACTGTTCCACTCTTACTGTGAGCTGATAGAAATAAGGCTATGAGAAGCCCCAAAAGAAGATAGATTTTCCGTGAGGTGCTAATAATGAAATCTATTTGATTATGCATTTTTCTTCTGTAATGGCTTTCCCCCCACATCTACTGTATTAATGGAATAAATGTTAATTCAACGCAGGGCTTCCACAATAGCTTCTCTTTTGCAGCGTGTAAGAAATAAGGAGACAAAGACATTTAAAAACACGGAAGAGTCTAGAAAGGACCCTTATAATTCCTTCCTCTCATGTGTATGTACTAGTTTTGCTTCTGTTTTTCTGCTTGAAAGAATTTGTTCAGATTTTTCTTTTCAGCTACTGCAATGAGCTTTTTAAAGAATGTATACATTTCAGTTTCCTTTGATTTATTTCTGATATGGTCTTCAGTAGATTCAGTTCTGAAAGAAGTAAGTATTTTTTGAATCTTCATTTCCCTGGATCCTCACTTTCTTTCATGGCAGAGTAGACTGCTCTGCTATTTTTGTGAGTGAAAGGGAAGACAGTACCTGTCTCAGCAGCCCGATGTGACTTAGGTGTCAGATAAATTACTTGACTATTATTTTTTTTTTAATTATGGAATTTTTTTGATTCCATAGCAGAGCATGAATTAGAGGGCAGAGCCTGTATAAAATGCATTTGTAGAATTGATATTGGCAGTTCTTAGAGCTGAGATGTGCACTAGTAGAGTTAACTGTAGAGTTGCAGGAGTAAGTAGTTAATTTATGACTGCCAGGAAGTCCCAGTTCTGTTTCTTCCCTCTAGCTGCTGCCAAGAAAGATGGTCTCTGACAGAAAGTTAGTTTCCAGCCAACATTGAAGTGGAAATGAGAATTGATGGTGCAGGATTTTGTTGTACCCAAATGGTAGAAGTGTCACTTCAAATGGCTTTCCAATGTGGTTTCCCAAATACTTTCTGTATCTTAATACAAAAAGTTATTCTGGATCTAATGAAGCAGATAGTCTTGCTCAGCAGTACTGAAGAACATTGTTCTTGTATACAAATCAAATGTTAAACACAATTGGAAAGAGATGCTTTTATCTTCAGTGAAACATTTTATTTGCTAGTTGTATTTCTTTTTTCTTTCTGTAATTATCTTCCCATTTGACAAAGCTTTTAAGATTTATGTAAATGCACCCCACTTACAGGATGACAGCTGTCTTTTAGTGCATTTTGGGGCTGGGGGGAGGGTGAAATGAGGGGGGGATGGGTCAAAGGTGAGGAATGTTCAAAATTTAGCCCATGGAATTGCTTCCTTCTGCAGCTATTGGCACAGAGCTGTGCAGTGTGTTCCTATGGCACCTTGATCCTAAACTGACAGGAGATCTGAGAAGCAGCTGATATCCTGGTGTGATGCTAAGGTTGCTAAATGTAGAGAGACGATCATCATTTTCTTTTTCTCTTGGTAATTTATTGCTTTTGGAAAGTTAGTTTTCTGGATTGAGCTTTGCTTCAGAAAAGCTGTTTTGGCTGTGTTTAAAGCAATGCCCCTCAGGATTATTTTGCACAAGAATCAAATGCAAGATCAGCTATCTAATAAGGGCATATTTGTCTTAACATATTTAATAGAGTAGGGACACAGTTGAAAAGTAGGATTTCAGTCAGCATGGTTACAGCCTTTATTAGCATCAGCGCAACTTCAGAAGTAGCAAAGCTGAGAGCCTGGCCAGCATGGAGAGTATTGGCTATATCACAGGCAGTGCTTTGGGGCAATGCCATGCCATCTAGGTAGTCAAGAAGACTGCATTTTCTTGAAAGAGCTTACTTGTGTTTTGGGTCCTGAATATTGTTCCCTTTGCTCTTGCCTGCTCCACTTACTACCGGTTTACAGTTGTTGAATCTCTCAGAGTGCCTGAAGTTGGCAAGGGAGATGCATAGTTGCATAGTAAAAAATTTATTCAGGAGCAAGTCTTTTGGCTTGAAGCCAGATTTATTCTACTTCCAAGATTTTTGATTAGTTGTGAAA